TTTTTTTAAAAAAAAAAAAAAAAAAAAAAAAAAAAAAAAAAAAAAATTAAAAAGAAAAGAAAAAATAACAATCTATGATCGTAAAACAATAAAATTCTCAAGTTTTATAATTTGCAAAAGAGTCTATATTTACATGTTAATTCTTAAATCAAACAGAACTCCTTTTACCAGGAAACTAAAAAGTTATTATAACGCGATCTATTTCAACTGGACGGACATCTTGTTAATCTGCAACAAAAAAAGATTTCGCGTATGCTTCGATTTTTTTTTTAAAATAAAAACTTACTTCAACTAGTGTCAGTCAAATAATAATCTTAAATCGAACAATGTACATGTTACAACAACATTATTATACAATAATACAATCAACATGTCATTTTTTTATCTCTTCAGAGAAGCATTCGAAGTAATTATTTTATATATGTGTATATATAAATATATATATATATGTATGTATATGTATATATATATATATATACACACATATGTAAGAATCGCATAATGAAGAACAGCAATATCCACTGCTTTAACCATTAATAATATACGTATTATATAACGTAATATATATATTATATTATAATATAATATATATATCTTCATAATATGTATATATACACGATATGATATAATTTATATCCAAACTATTCTTAAAGTGCGAGGAGAAGTATCTCATTAAAATCGAATTCATGAAATATCGGTAGTTATTAAGAAACATCTTTCTTTTCTACTTTTTTTTTTTTAGCAACAACATCTCGTTAAGACTGGTTTTTAATTTATTTTTACATAACCAATCATTTCTTTCCACTGTTGTACCATCTTTTACAGAATACCCTGTAAATGCGTATGTGTATGTGTATATTTGGATGAACATGTAGAGATACGTACGGGCGCGAGCACGTACACTTTTATTTAAATGTACAATAGTGTGAAAATATGATGTGAAACAGTATTTCGATAATTTCATACGTAAAAGCGTGAATCATAATGTAATACGTATATGTTCATTGTAAATAGTGTACACCTGCCCGAAATAAAAATTTTTAAAATTTAGCATCGATCCAACATTGGCGAGTAACGCTCGTCTCTCATACTGAGAAAAGAAATATTTGTTTACGTACAATTAGTTCATATCTTTTGATAGTAATTAACATTATTAAAGGTGTCCAATTAAATTTACAAAAATTAACATGATTAATAACATTAAATCAATCGCTGTAATATCTATAAATAGATTTAAAATTACCGGTAAATACTATTATATACTTTTTCTTTTTTAAATTTAAAATATATCCTACATATCTTTATACATAAGATAATACTTTTTACAAAACATTTTGCTCGTAGAGCAAATAGAATGGATAAAATTCTTACTTAATATCAATGTTATTCGTCGAA